CCTTGGCTGTGGCGCCGTGGGCAGCAGGGAGTCGCCGTGGGCAGCAGGACGTTGCCGTGGGCAGCAAGGCGTCGCCGTGGGCATCACGGCCTCCTCTCCTGGCCCAGCGTCCGTTTTGCTTTTCTTCATTCTGCTGCCTTCGATGGTGGCGATGTGTCCCCCTTCCTAAAATGCACAGTGCAGAGTCCTTACAGCTTTCTCCCTTTTCATCCCACGCTCTCCAAACGTTTTATTTTACACTGACGAGAGACTCACAGGACGGCCGCAGAGCGCGGGCTCGCGCGCCCCTGGCTGACTGGCGGGCGTCTGGCGCTGCCGGGTTGGGCGCCGGCGCTGGTGCGACTGCGCAGAGCAAGGGCGGCCCCTACGCAGCCACTTCCGGTTTTTCCCGCAGGCGCCTCCCTGAGTCCGTCCAGGATCCCACATGATTCATTCCATATTCTCCCTCGTCTCCTCCCACCCTCCAGAATTCACCGTCTCCCCTTGTCTTTTGTGACTTACACGCTTCTTGCTGTGCAGCGGTTCAGCGGTTTTGCAGAATCGGCCTGGGTTTCATTTGCACCGTGTTTTCTCCTGACTGGGGTGAGGCTGTGGAATTTTGGCGGGAGCCCCTCAGGAGCCCAGCTGTGCCTCCCAAGTGTCCAGTCGCGAGGCCTTGAGATGAGGCCGTCTGTCAGTGGGGACATGGGCCAGGGTCCTTTGATGGTGATGAGCATCTTGGGGAGCTGCTCTTCTCGGAGATGCAAATGCTGCTTCTCTCCATCTTCCACCCAGCAGCTTCCACATCCATCGGGGACCTCCCTGCCCCTTCATTACTGGAGTTTAACTGTGGCTCTGTGTTGAATCACCCGTGGGCTTCTCCAGTGAGAAGGAGCTGGCCCTTCCACTCTGCACATGCATTTATTTGATTATTTACTTATATCAGTATGGACTCATGAGTATTTATACGCTATGGCACAAAATACATTTTAAAAAATATTGTTGCCTCAGTTGTCCCACGCTGGCCCTTGGAAGCTCCTTCAGGCTGGACAGGCTCTTCGTTGTGCTCTTCTAACAAACACACACCCTCTCTGGGGGCACGTCGCTGGTTCCCGGAACACAAGATCCTCTAAGCTGGTCCTGGATTTTCCCTGCCTCAGCCCTGGCACCCGACAGTTCTCCAAGGACCCCAGGTCTCATTGATTCCAATCCAACAACACAGGGTTTATTTTAGCCTGAGTTGTTCATTGTCTTCAGGAGTGAAAAGATGTCTCTTCTTGTTTATATTTACATATTGTTTGATTCTAGTTTCAGAATTGCAAACCCACATGCTACGATAAGTACCTTTACTAGATTGCAGTGTCCGCGCCCAGTCAAGGCTGTTTCCGGGGTGCCTGGGTGGGTTGCATCTCCTTGCCCTCCGGGATCTGTCCCTCTGCAGTGCATGAGACTCATTTGTCTGTGACCATCGTCCATCCCAGCTTACCCCAAGCTAAGGTCCTGGTGGGTCACAGTCACTCATTTCTGGAGCAGATGGAGGGATGGGGAACATCACGATTGTTCTTCAAATCAGAGCTATCAGAAAAGAGACTCAGCAAAAATGTTCAGCCTCTCCCTGTCCTGACACCCCTTCCCACTCCCTAGTACCCTCACTGTGCAGAAACCGGTTTCTAAGGCTTCTGGTTCAATGAGTGATCAGGCGGCAGCTGCGTGTGATCCTGTTCCCCTTCCTTCTCTCGTGTGGGAGCACTGGAGACAGATGTTCTTAGGGCTTCTCTCTCACTGGATAGTCCACCCTGGAAACCCGTCTGCTTCTCCTCACAGGGACCCTCCTCGTTCCTCAAGCCACACAGCGCCCTGTCATGTGAATTCACCTGTTCATTCAATCCACTCTTCCACACGACAGAATGTACAATGTACGTGACAAGTATTTTCTCTGTTAGTTGCCCTTGACTTGTTGTTTTGGTCATGCATTTAAAGTGGTTTATTTGTCAAATTTATCAGTCTTTTTCCTTTGTTACCTCTGGATTTTGAGTCATAGTCAAACTTCCTCTGAACCAACGTTAAGGTATTTACTCATTGTTTTCTTCCAGTAGTTATGTGGTTTCATGTTTAAACATGGAGATCCCTGGTCCATTGGGAGTTAATTCTTATGTACAGTGTGAGATAGAAACTTAATTCTGTCCCTTTACAAACAGCTGCCCAGTAGTCCCAGGATCCGTTAAGAAAATGACCATCATCCCAGAGCTTAGAGACTCCCCTCTGTCATAGACTAAATTTTCACCGTATTTGGGTCTATTTCTGGAATTTCTGTTTATGAACCACACTTTCGTGATTTTAGAGGTTTGTGGTACTGTCTGATGGGGCCTCTATTTCTGAAAAGCTTTTCATAGATTTTACTTTTAAACATTAGTTCCCGTACATGTTTCATTCCTCTCAGGCATCCGGTGATGTGGGCCTAAGTCCTCCTCTTCCTGCCTCCACACACGCTTCATTCTTCTCAGGCATCCGATGATGTGGGCCTGAGTCCTCCTCTTCCTGCCTCTGTACACGCTTCATTCTTCTCAGGCATCTGATGATGTGGGCCCAAGTCCTCCTCTTCCTGCCTCCTGTCACCACCACTTTCCTTGACACTCTGTTTTGTCATTTACATTCTCTTGGTAGTTTTTCTGCCTTTCTTTGATGTCCCCTATCACATTTCCATTTGAGATTTGAGTCTATTTTCCTCAGGCACCTTTAAATTTATTATTTTAAGAGCACTTTTAGGTTTACAGTAAAACTGAGCAGAAAATACAGAGAGCTCCCACATAGACATACGACCCCCTCTGAGACACAGATGATCCTGTTATTAATACCTTGCATTGGTGTGGTGCAGAGAGCTCCCATATAGACATACAACCCCCTCTGAGATACACATGGTCCTGTTATTAATACCTTGCATTGGTGTGGTGCAGAGAGCTCCCATATAGACGTTCGACCCCCTCTGAGACACACATGGTCCTGTTAATACCTTGCATTGGTGTGGTGCAGAGAGCTCCCATATAGACGTATGACCCCCTCTGAGATACACATGGTCCTGTTATTAATACCTTGCATTGGTGTGGTGCATTTGCTATAGCTGATGAAACAACACTGATACATTAGCATTAACTAATGTCCATGGTTTACATCAGGGTTAACACTTGGTGCACATTCCAGAGGTTTTGAAAATGTGTAATGACGTGTGCCATGCAGAGGTGTGCCCCCTAACACAGTGCCACGCAGAGGTGTGCCCCCTACCACAGTGCCACCTAAGATTCTCTGTGCTCCAGCGGTTCACCCCTCCCTTCCCACAACCTCGAACCGTGGATCTCTTTCCCTGTCTTCAGAGTTTTGCCTTTTTCCAAAGGTCCTGCAGTTGGAACCATAGGTTGGGGTCTTTTCACAGGGGCTGCTTTCACTACGAATGTGCGCTGAAGTCCTCCGCGGTGTGCGTGGCTCGTGGTCCAGCTCTTTCCAGTGCTGGATTCTCTGCAGTGTCTGATGTACCACAGTTTTGTAGGAAGCCCCCACACCATCTTCCGCAGCAGCTGGGCCATTTGCATTCCCCCCAGCAGGAACGAGCGTTTCTGTTCCACGTCCCTGCCGGCTGCTGGTGGGGCTCGGGTTGGAGTCAAGCTGTTCTATGAGGTGCTCCTTCATTATGCAAAGAGTTCTTATAACTCATACGGAAGTATTATTATTATGTGTGGTTCGTGTTCTTTATTTCTAAGATAACTTTGTCTTTTTCTTCCATTTATTTCCTGAGTTAAATCAATTATTTTTATTACTCTATTTTTCGCCCATATCTTACATTTCTACATTTCTGATTCAAGGTGGCTTTTCAGATCTTCCAAGGCTGGCTTGAGGATGTCTAATTTATCAGGGGTGTTGACTTACATGTTTCTCTGCCTCGTGACTGTTTTTGGGGGAGTTTTCTTCATTCGACTTTGGTGAACATTTGCCCCCTGGTTTCCCACCACAGCTCTGTGTAAATTGTCTTTCTCCCTCTCTTTGGTGACGGTGGGTGACATAGAAGGCTCTGGCCTGATGGCGCCCAGCTCCTCCAGTCCCGCAGTGCCGGGGGCTTCTGTGCTGCTGTTCTCAGCGGGAGGGTCTGCACCTCAGCTGTGGGGTCCGCTTCTGTCTTGCAGTCCCAAAGTCATCCTGTTTTCCTTTGCTCCCCTTCTTCTCCCCCAGGAACTCTGTGTTTGGGAGACTGGACTGTAAGTCAGGCCTCTGCCCTGGGGTCTGGCTGTGAATGGGTGGGCTCTGCCTCCTGGGCTTGCTCCCTGCCCTGTGGGCCTCAGTGACGCTGGCCCCGGCTCCACCTCTCAAGGGCATCTGTGCAGGTCTGTGGCTCAACCTCCTTCATTCTCAGTGACTCTCTGTCCTCCGGGGACGTGGGATGCTTGCCCCTCCCAGGGGCATTCCTCAACCTCCTTTCCTCATCGGGCCTTGCAGGGACTCACAGGCAGCCTGCACCCCCGAGCTCCTCCTCCTGCCTTAAATGCCAGCTTCCCGAGCCTGGGAGCTCCTGGACGCGAGGCTTCCCGAGCCTGCGAGCTGCTGGAGGCTGGGCTGGGTCTTAAGGTCTCTGCATCTCCAGTGCTGGTCGCAGCTCGGGCAGGGGTGTCTGAGGCAGACGTCCTGCGCCATCCTCCGTTCACGGCACCCTGTATCCAGTTGTGATGTCTAAAGGCCAAGCAGCAGCCAGCGAATCGGCCAGGCCCGGGAGGACGTCACACCGAGCACCCAGACCCCTCAGTGGGCACCTGGACTTCGGTAGGAGGAGGCCACCCAACCTAGAACACAAATAATTCGGGTTCTGTCCTTTAATATGAGACGTATAACCATGAGGTCATTTTTTCTAGGTTTCAGAAAAGGAATTTTCTTAAAAGCAGCATAGGGGTGTGTTTGTACCGAGGGTTCGCCCAGTTAAGATGGATTTTAATAGTTTCTCCTCTTTCCCGTTTTCTTCCTGTGTCTTTCTCCACAAACAGGAGCTGGGGGCTGGACCCCACTCGTATCAAATAAGAACCAATGGCTGCAGATCGACCTTGGAGAGAGGGTGGAGGTCACGGCGGTGGCGACGCAGGGCGGGTACGGGAGCTCCGACTGGGTGACCAGCTACATCCTGATGTTCAGCGACAGCGGCAGGAACTGGAAGCAGTACCGGCGGGAGGACAGCGTCTCAGTAGGTCCCTGGTGGGAGGACAGCGTCTCAGTGGGTCATGGTGGGATGACAGCGTCTCAGTGGGTCGTGGTGGGATGACAGCGTCTCGATGGGTCCTGGTGGGAGGACAGCGTCTCAGTGGGTCCTGGTGGGAGGACAGCGTCTCGATGGGTCCTGGTGGGAGGACAGCATCTCTGTAGGTCCTGGTGGGAGGACAGCGTCTCAGTAGGTCCCTGGTGGGAGGACAGCGTCTCAGTGGGTCCTGGTGGGAGGACAGCGTCTCGATGGGTCCTGGTGGGAGGACAGCATCTCTGTAGGTCCTGGTGGGAGGACAGTGTCTCGGTGGGTCCCCAGTGGGAGGCCAGCGTCTCGATGGGTCCTGGTGGGAGGACAGCATCTCAGTGGGTCCTGGTGGGATGACAGCGTCTCGATGGGTCCTGGTGGGAGGACAGCGTCTCGATGGGTCCTGGTGGGAGGACAGCATCTCTGTAGGTCCTGGTGGGAGGACAGCGTCTCAGTAGGTCCCTGGTGGGAGGACAGCGTCTCAGTGGGTCCTGGTGGGAGGACAGCGTCTCAGTGGGTCCTGGTGGGATGACAGTGTCTCGATGGGTCCTGGTGGGAGGACAGCATCTCAGTAGGTCCCCGGTGGGAGGACAGTGTCTTGGTGGGTCCCTGGTGGGACAAGAGCATCTCAGTAGGTTCCTGACAGGAGGACAGCATCTCGGTGGGTCCCTTCCTGGCAGCACTGGCTCCTGGGGCCTGGCTTGCAGGGATGTCCCCAGGGAGCCCTGGAAGGCTTGGCTCTGGTAGAGAAAAAGCAGCTCCAGGATTTCCTGGCCAAGGTTTCCTGCATTTTCAGATGCACAAAACATGCACAATTTAGTAAATATGTAAAACAGTTCTATGGCATAGTGGGAAACTGGAAGAAAACCTGGGGTTTCTGCTAAAACCATGTTCAGGATCACGTGTAACCAGCCTGTGTTTTGTGCCGTCATGTGGAGGTTGGAAGAAAGCCTGGGGTTTCTACTAAAACCATGGGCGGGATCGTGTGTAACCAGCCTGTGTTTCGCAGTCATGTGGAGGGTGGTGTTGGGGCCACATCGCTTCACATGAACCCAGTGAGCACAGCCTGACCCCAAATTCTTTGGCCTGAACTTCTGAAAGACACGGATGGACCCGTCTCCCTGTGGACAACTGTTCTGTGGACTCTGTCCTCTGTCCCACGGCCACATTCAGTAGGTTTTTGGGCAGAGACTGCCTTGAGATTCAATGACCTTGTGTCTCTGGTCCCTAAACTGTCACACACCTGTGCTTCTTTGGGGCAAAATGTTTTTGTTTGCCTAGCTTGTGACTTTTAAGAAGACATGCGATTTTCTGCGTATCTTTCATTATGTAATTACTGAAGTATCCCAGACACTTTAGTTTATCCTTGCTGAGCTCAGAGAGTGGTTTAAAATGTTCAGTTTTGTGGCTGGAGTGAGGCCCCAGTAAAGGAGACACTGGTGGCCGTTGTTTACAAACAGCGGCCACCACAGATCCGAGGGCGCGGGTGGTGGATGTTTGTGAGTGGATGTTAAGGGGAACTCATGTGAGGGGCTGTGGCCAGGGCAGGGCATCAGCCTTCACTTAAAACACCAGCTGAAGGCAACAGGGACTGGAGGAGGCCGCGAGCTCCTTGCCACACTCGGGCAGCTCTGCATTTCTTCTTCGGGGACACCCTGACAAAAGGGAAAACAGAGGTTCTCGGCAAAGCTCCCGTGACCAGCACAGATGAGCCAGAGAGCCCAGGAGCGGCTCTAATGGGTCAACCACGTCCCCTGCATGGACCTCCCGGACCCCGGCTCTGTGTCCTCCGTGGATGGAGGACGTGGGCTGGGTTGGCCCTGGGATAAGCCAGGACTGGGACCACCCTGGCTAAAGCAGAGGGAGGGGACATGAATGAGGGGTCAGCCACCCCCGTCCTGGGAACAGATGCCAGACCAGCTGAGACTCTAGTTACAAATCGAGTAGTAACTTCAAAGACTGGCCACCACTGCGGGATGCACGTCAGCACTAATTATATTAAGATTGGGTTGTTGGCACAATTTAAAAAGAACAAAGGGGAGCTGGAGACACTGCGGGAATTCTCACCTTCCTGTTCCAGCTGTGCTCTCGGCATCCCTCTTCCTGCTGACTCCTCAGGGGAAACAGCATCAGGACCAAGCCCAGGCCACACTGAGAGGGATGCACCACCAACTGCAAAGGGTGTGACTGCACTGTCATCGTGGCCCTCATCTGTCCAGTATTCCTGCGAGGCCCCTGTAATTATAAGCAGATGCTATGTATTGTTTGGCCTTTAAAACTTGTGGCACAATATATATAACAAAAAATTACCATTTTATTCGTTTTCAAGTGTGTGATTCAGTGACCTAAGTGTCATATTGTTGTGCAAACATGGACACCATTCATCTCCAGGACTTTCTCATCTTCCCAAACCGAGACTGTCCCCATTAAACACTCACTCCCTATCCAACCCCTCCACCCCCGGCACCTCCATCCCACTCACCGTCTCTGTGACTGTGACGACTCTAGGGACCTCATAGAAGTGGAATCAGACAGTATTTGTCTTTTATGATTAGCTTCCTCCACTTAGCACCACACCCTCAGGTTTCACCACATCGTACATGGGTCAGAATGTCCTTTTGAAGGGTAAATCACCGTGTTGTATGGATAGACCACATTTTGTTTGTCCGTTCACCCATTGAGGGACTCTTGGTTGTTCCCATGTTTTCACTATTATGAATAATACTGCTGTGAACATGGGTGTACAAGCATCTCTTTGCGAGCTGCTTTCAATTCTTTTGCATACACATCCAGAAGCAGCATTGTTGGGTTATGTGGTAGAACCATGTTTTCATCTTTTGAGGAAACGCCCTACTGTTTTCCATAGTGGCTGCATCATTTCACATTCCCCAGCCACGCAGGAGAGTTCTCACCGCCGCCCTGCTGTACCGACACTGGGTGTGGCGTGTGTTGGTTAGTAGCAGCGGCACTGTTGGGGGTGAGGTGTTGTCTCACGGTGGCTCTGAGTTGCGTCTCTGGACAGTGAGTGATGCCGAGCGTCCCACTTGCTGGTGGAGCCTCCGTGTGTCTTCTTTGGAGAAATGTCTATTCAGGTCCCTTGTCAACTGTTAAAATCAGATCATTTTTACTGCTGTTGTTTAACTGTGGGAGCTCATTCTGTATTGTGGATATTAACCCTCTGTCACCTGTGTTATTTGCCGGGTTTTCTCCCGTTCCATGAGTGGCCTCTTGGTTGCTGACACCGTCTTTCTTTTCTTTTCTTTCTGTGTTTTTTTTTTTTTTCTTGAGACAGAGTCTCGCTCTGTCACCAGGCTGGAGTGCAGTGGTGCCATCTCGGCTCACTGCAAGCTCCGCCTCCCGGGTTCACGCCATTCTCCTGCCTCAGCCTCCCGAGTAACTGGGACTACAGGCGCCTGCCACCATGCCCAGCTAATTTTTTATATTAATTAGTAGAGATGGTATTTCACTGTCTTAGCCAGGATGGTCTCGATCTCCTGACCTCGTGATCCACCTGCCTTGGTCTCCCAAAGTGCTGGGATTACAGGCGTGAGCCACTGTACCTGGCCTGCTGACACTGTCTTTTGATGCACCCATGTGTTCGGTTCTATTTGCCTGGGTTTTCTCCTGCTCAGTGAGTGGCCTCTCAGTTGCTGACACCTTCTTTTGATGCACCGGCGAGTTCAGTTCTATTTGCTTGGGTTTTTTCCTGTTCCATGAGTGGCTTCTTAGTGGCCGACACCGTCTTTCGATGAACCTGCATGTTCGGTTCTGATGCGTTCGGTTCTGTTCCACCTTTTGTTGTTCTGCTTTATTTATATTTTAAAAGGATATTGACAAGTTATGCTGGAATAATTTCTCCATACATAATATCAGCTGAGCTATAATTACCATTTTACTTTCTAATCTAAATGTCTTCTCTTTTCAATTTTCTTTTAACAATAGATATTTTTACTTTCACAGAAGCAAAATCTCTCTAGCTGATAATTACTAGTGTTAATGTTATACTATGATCCTCATTTAAAATAAGACAGGGCTGATACTTATAACTTCCACATGATTATTCAGTTATCTGCGTTTATAGTGAGACGCACACAATACCGACATCTTCAACACAATCATTCAGTTATCCGCCTTTACAGTAAGTCACACACGATCCCGACATGTTCAACACAATTATTCAGTTATCCACCTTTACAGTGAGTCACACAGGATACCAACATCTTCCACAGAGTTATTCGGTTATCCGCCTTTATAGTAAGTCACACACGATACTGACATGTTCAACACAATTACTCAGTTATCTGCGTTTACAGTGAGTCACACACAGTACCGACACCTTCAACACAGAAAGGTTATCCGCCTTTACGGTGAGTCACACATGATACCTGCCAACATTGTCCACACCGTTATTCGGTTATCCACCTGTATGGTGAGTCACACACAATACCAACATCTTCCACACAGTTATTCGGTTATCCACCTTTACAGTGAGTCACACAAAATACCGGCATCTTCCACACAGTTATTCGGTTATCCACCTTTACAAAATACCGGCATCTTCCACACAGTTATTCGGTTATCCACCTTTACAGTGAGTCACACAAAATACCGGCATCTTCCACACAGTTATTCGGTTATCCACCTTTACAGTGAGTCACACAAAATACCGGCATCTTCCACACAGTTATTCAGTTATCCGCCTGTACAGTGAGTCACACACGATACCGACTTCTGCCTTTACAATGAGTCACACATGATACCGACAACTTCCACACAGTTATTCAGTTATCTGCCTTTACAGTGAGTCACACATGATACCGACATCTTCCACACAGTTATAGTTATTCCATTATCTGCCTTTAAAGTGAGTCACACATGGTACCAACATCTTCCACACAGTTATTCGGATATGTGGCTTTACAGTGAGTCACACACGATACCGACATCTTCCACACAGT